ATATAATACTATATTAATTATTAGAGAGACGTAAACGACGCATAAACGCACGCTGCCCGATCACGCCTCGACGAAAATTAAAAAGACAAACAAACAGAAAAATGGTGAAAACGTGCAACAAACGAACAATTCGATCCGCGAATAAAAAGTAAAAAAATAAAAAAAAGAAGAAAGATTCGATTCGTTATTCGGTCGCGTCGACGCGTGTTTTACAAGTGATTAAAAGTAAAGGAAAAATCGAACTATTGAGCGTCAAATTCTTCGATTTGGGGCCTGCATAGAAGGCACCACCGTCGCCGCGGCTTCGTTCATTTCACGAACGTTTCGAAGCCGAATCGAAACGGCATTTCGAAAAAAAATCTCTCTCGGAACGTTCCATTCCACCCCTCCTCGATGTTGTTGCTTCGAAAATGGAACACCGCTCGTTCTTCTCATCCCTTCGCGTCCCTCCTATTTGTATAAATGTCGACGATCGATGTAGATTAATCGCGGGAATCGTCGTAGGGTTCCGAGCGATCGGCTTCCCGAAAATAAAAGCATCCAAGAATCGTGAAAGAAAAAAAAGAAGAAAAAAAAGAAAGGAAATTCGGAGCTTGTCTTGTTTCTGCAAGCTGAAAATCTCGTGCGTTTTCGTTAATTAACCCTTTGATCGGTAATATTTTCCAATTTCGGTGATTAACGTTATACTGGATGAAAGTTAGTCGAATTATTTGATCGTAGGAAGGGTGGTACTACTGCTGGATGTCTTATCGGTGATTAGAGTGCAATTTGTGTTCTCGGAGCTTGTTTTCGTGAGTCGATATTTGTGTAAATGTAAAGTTACTTTCTTCCATGCTGATAACGAGCCCCCCTTCTTATTCCTCCGTTCTTTTCCCTCTTTTTTTTTTCCTCTTTCTCTTTATGAAAACGTTGCATCGTGATGGATTGTAATATACGATACGAAATTTCGTTGCTCTTACCATGTAAAAATGTGAAATTTTGTAATTAATTCCGTATAATTTGTTTTCCAGTTTCACGAACTGCGGCTAATATTAGTAATGTGTAAATGTCGTGTTCTGTAACACCATGCAATGTTCCAGCTGTATAAAATAATGAACTTACAGCTTATTCTTCGAAGGGTTATTCTCCTTTTTTTTTTTTTCTTTTTTTTTAATCCTAGAACAACTCATGATACCTCCGACATATTTTATTGTATAAAAAATGTGAATACCTATATATCTCTGTTCCTACGTCTTTTTTTTTAATTAATTAATTAATGCTACTTTGCCAGTTGCAAACTGTCATTATATATAATGATTTTTAAAATATTTTTTCCTATTTAAAATTTTAAATAAATGCGTTAAATGTTTCTCCCGTTTTTTTTTTCTCTCTCTCTTCTTGCTTTCCTCTGTTTATTTTACTTGTAAATCTACAAGTTACAGACCTATAACGATT